CATTGTATTTTTGTAGCAGCATGGGTTGGCTTATAAAATGAAAGGCTGAAGGTTTCAAATATCCTCTCCCAGAAGTCTACTAGTTTTGCAGATCTGGCCTCTGATATAATTGATGGATAATTCCTGCCACCAACTATCTTTCTGGAGATGCCTCACATGGCATCATAAATTGGACCCTCATCCATGAGAAATAAGAGCTCTCCCGGCCAACGGTTACAGCACTTTATAGCACTCTCTGGGATGGGGGTTACAATGTAAAACATTATTTGTATATTGTCCCCAGTAATCTGGGTCCTCATTTTACCAACCTCGGAAGGATGGAAGGCTGAGTCCTGTCAGGAACTAACTCGTGGATGTGGGCAGTTTGCTGCAATGCTGCATTCTTAAACACTGCACAAATATATATTATTTGAAATCCAATTTACAAAAATGCATTGTTCTCAGTAGATTACAGGATGGCGCCGACCAATGAATAAATTAGGGCAGGATCTCTGCTTCAAAATATATATACAATTAAACCTAAGAAAGCCAGAGATTATACATAATATCTTACTTGTGCAGAGAAATAAAAACAAGGGGAGGGGATAACAGAGAGAGCACAAAATTTGAATGCAGCATCCTAGCTAAGGATGGTTGGAAATTTCTTCCTGAACAGAATTCTCTTAATGAAAAAGCCTTTATTTTCTCTGGACTTGCCTTGGCTCTCCCTTTATATATCTATATCTTTATTAAGTTTTTAAAAGCAAAGGATAAAAAAAACAAGGAAGTAGTCAAGAGACAGAATAGATAAAGAAATAAGAGATAGAAATTCAATAAAATAAAAAATATAAAAAGAATGACTTTCCTTTTCTGTTATAGCATAAAACTTAAATTTAACTCTTGTTCTACAATTATAGCAGAGCCTTTATTTTTCATAATATATAAATATTACTTGTCATGAAATAGATATGTGGTATTTCATTTTTTGGGGTTTATGCAAAAAGTCCTCAAAGGGGCTTCCAATTGGTATTGAATTTGGTCAATGTCTTTTCTCTAATCAAAGCAGTCAGTTTCACTATCCTAGCCAGCTTCATCAGCTTTAACAACTGTTCTTCCATTCTAGGTATCATCATATCCTTCCAGTGCTGAACATATAGAAGACTTGCTGCTATTATTATATACAAGAACAAAGTACCATGAAATTATTCCAAACTTTTGTCAATAAACCCTAACAAAAATGTCTATAGTCTAAACTGGGTATTGACCTTGACATATTTTTGAGTTAACAATATATATTTTGGTCCAATAATTTTTAACTTTTTATAATCCACCAAGGTTGGCAAAAGGACACTTTGGGGTGTTTACATTTCCGACTTTATACATTTTTGACAATATTTCTAGTGATAAATATCATCTATACTTCATTTTATAGACATTAAGATTGTAACAGTATATCAAATCTTTTTAATTTTCTCAGTAATAATTCTACCCTTTTCAACAAGTCTTTCAACACCAACACCACATCATCTTCAAATGTTCTCAATAAATGTTAACCCTCATTGTCCACTCATTTTGCCTTATATCCCTATTCAAAGCTTCCAAAACCAATATAAACAGTTGGGGAAATAATGGGCACTCATTATGTTCCTTTTTGAATTTCACAGGATGATGTTAGATTTCCATTTACACTTATTGGTTTAATTCCAGTTGTTCATCAGAGCTATTGACAGATGGTACACCCCACTTCCAACTCAGGAAGTTTCTTGCTTTGTTGTCCTTTATTTCTAAAGAACAAAAGGTTTTTTTTTATTCCAAAGGTAGAGGCTGTTGGGGGAATATAATCTTTCTAGGCTTCCCATTGAAGATGTGTATTGAAACTCAGATGGATAGTATTGCCACTCATTAGTTTATTGTTGCACTGAGGATTGTGGCAGGAAGAAACCAATTTTAATAAATTAGAATGAGTAGAAATAAAATATTGAGAATTCACTTGATTAGTTTTCTTTAATTAAAAACATGGATGAAGAGATTTTTACAAAAACTATCTTCTGTAAAGGAAACTGAACCAGAGAGAGAACTTAAGATAGAACAGTCTAAATGAAAAAGAAACAAAAAGGCTATATCAAATTTATTGACAGGTGACAATAACCTAGAACACAGAATAACAGAGTTGGAAGGGACTTTGGAACATTCTAGTCTAACTCAAGCAGGAGATCCTATACCGCTTTGCACAAATGGTTGTCCAACCTCTTCTTGAAAACCTCCAGTGATTAGCACACACAACTTCTGGAAGCTAAACAAAACTTTAGTTAAACTAAGGAAATAAAGAAGACTGCAATTGTAAATCAAACCTGACATGCAAGCTGACAGATAAGGACAATGTTGAAGTGTATGTAGCTCTGCAGATATGATATGTAAATGGAACAACTACACAAGTAAATAGAAATACTGTATGTATGTATGTATATGTATGTATGTATGTGTGTGTGTGTATGTGTGTGTGTGTGTGTGTTTTTTCTGAGATTTTCGTGAGTGTTTGTATGTAGGTCTTTGGTTATTCGGGTTTTCTCCCACGTAAAATTAGAAGTGTCTTGGCGACATTTCGACGAAGTCTCATTCGTCATCTTCAGGCTGGTGCTTTTGGCTTCGTGCTTCTAGGAGGGAGATAGCCGGATCTGGGATTTCATCGCAGGATCGGTCTGCAGTTACACAGTTAATCTGGTGCGAAGTAACATGGAATGCTCGCCTCCCAGCCTAGGAGCCGCGCGCAACAGAGAAGTAATTAGCTGCAGCAACTTAGAACTCAGAAATACATCTGACATGAGTGATGGGAGGATCAATCGACCGGGCCCTATAACGAGGTCTATGAGCCGTGTGCAGGCGCGTTTGTGCTTATAAACGAGCTCCCCCACCCTCTGGCTTTTATCACCCTGACAATGATGGCAGCAACACAGCCATCGAAAGCTAGGTTATCTATTTATTAAACACTTAATTGTTTTATCTCCTGGTGCTCGTTTTTATCTTTTGAATATGTATACACCCAGGAGACTACGTTCCTCAATTTTTAGATTAATTTTTATATATAATATATATATATATATATTAGCGGCTGCTAATAAAAACAGGATTGCCAATATGATTGCCAACGTCCGATAATGGATATGGCACAAGAAGAAAAAAGTAAAAACCAAATAACCGGCATTACTGTTTTATATAAACTTGTGATTTAATATCCCCAGCAATGTTATATTGTTGATTACAGCTTTGGCCCATTATTAGCATACAGCAAAGCAATACTCTGCTTTGATCCTTGGAAATAGGACATTGTTCACTTTACAACATCACTTCAAAGAGGGACTTTAAGAAAGCTTTGATAGAAATAGAGCAACCCTCCAATTGTAATTTACATTACAATTTTAATGTAAGTTGGTACTAATATTTCTAAGCCCTGTGCTGCTGTGCTAGCCATTAGATATTCTATTCACATGCAAGGAAACTTCCTTCACTATTGGTAGACAACTAACATGCTAGAATATTCTCTGATTTGTGGATTTTCTCCATTTCTTATAATGTGTAGTGTCTCCACCATATATGACCCACCGTTTCCAATATCTGCTGTACCATTTTCACTGACATTTGACTTTGTGTTGCACAAAATGAAACCACCAGAATTCTTAAAAAATACAGTAATGCTACATTTTATGTGCTCTAATTGTCTGATCCTTGATTTAAATTTCTAGCCCTCTCTGAATTCGAAAAGACTAATAACACATATATAACTGATCTTCTCATCTGGAAGCAGAAGTGTTAAGGTGGAAAAGACTCATATTTCAGAATATTAGTAGTATAGTATGATACACAGGTAGTCCTCAACTTACAACAGTTCATTTAGTGATCGTTCAACGTTACAACAGCACTGAAAAAAGTGATTTATGACTGCTTTTCGCACTTCCTTGCAGTATCCTCATGATCACATGATCAAACTTCAGATGCTTGGCTACTGATTCATGTTTATGTCGGTTGCAATATCCCAAAGTCATGTGACCACCTTTTACAACCCTCTGACAAGTAAAGTCAATGGGGAAGCCAGATTCACTTAACAACCGTGTTACTGATTTAACAGCTACAGTGATTCACTTAATAGCCGTGGCAAGAAAGGTTGTAAAATGGGGCAAACTCACTTAACATCAGAAATTTTGGGCTCAGTTGTAGTCGTACGATGAGGACTACCCATATAAACTAAAGGAGGAAAACCATCTGAAAAGTAATTAAAATTGCACTGCTTTTAAATGTGGAAGTATGCAGGTGTTTCAGCTTTTTCTTTTCTGTGCCTCTCATCTGCAGTTACACACAACAAAGGGCAGCCATAACAGGTACACTGGGCAAGAATTTTATTTAATATTTAAATTTATGGTACAGAATCCACCACACTCTTTCTTGGGATCTCCAGAGTTACAGTACCACTGATGAAAGATGCCAGATCTGGATCTCAATTTTTCTGCGACTTTGAGGCAGGAGATCTGAAATATAGTACAAGCCCTAAGATGGGATTAATATGATTTTTTTTTTAAATATAGAAATCCAAACTCCTTTAAATTTGCTATTCAAGCTTTTTTAAACATCTAAATCCAAAAATAGCTTCTGTTGATAATTTATCAACACATATTTTTAAACTGTGATATAATATTGAGCCGAGATGGCGCAGCAGTTAGAGTGCAGTACTGCAGGCCACTTTAGCTGACTGGGTTCAGCAGGTCAGCGGTTCAAATCTCACCGGCTCAAGGTTGACTCAGCCTTCCATCCTTCCGGGGTAGGTAAAATGAGGACCCAGATTGTTGGGGGCAATGTAAATATATATATATACATTGCTTACTGGTGTACACCGCTTAGAGAGTGCTCGCACTTAAAGCGGTATATAAGTCTCATAAATAAATAAATAAATAAATAAATAAATATTGCGTATTGAAGATTTTCAATTTTCCCTCCCCGGTCCCATTCCTCCAATGTGCAGAGAAATCAGATGGTGATAATTATTTTATTATACATTTACTTGATAATTTTTCTATCTGGGAAGTAGTCATACACTATAATATTGCCACAATTTATAATTAAAGGATTACAATGAATTCTTATATTAAAGCCTGGGCTTTCTGGCTTTTATACAAATTGTGCGATATTTCCTATTCTAATCTGAGCCTTTGTTATCATTAAGTTATGACTAAAATAATATTCCACATATAACTGATATCTGATAGTTGATACAACTTTTGTCTGTGAGATACAGTACAATATTTAAAAAGGAAGATTTCATTAAAAAAAATAAGCATTACAGATACATAATTTTCTTTGTCCATGTATGAAAGTCCCAGAAGCTGACAAAGTACAACTCAAATGTATATATTTTAATATCTGTGGTGTTTCATATCATATTTGCATCAAAAATCATCTTGTAAAAACAAAATTATATGAAAATATATTCAAAGATTTAAAAATATAGGAAAATATTCATAAAGTTCAAAAGATTAGCTACAAGACTCTTTGATCTGTTTCCGTTAAGAGGATGGAAAAATTAATACAACTTGTTATATCAATATTAGTTATCCATTTGTTTCCTTACTGCACAGTAAATTCTTTACAACAAAGCAAAGAACAAATACACATAGGATCAGTTCTTGAATACATCTGATTTGATAACAGCATCCCTTTATAATCTAATCCAAAATTTAACTGCCAATCTAGGCTTTCTGTTGTTTCTAAGATACTACTATGGCTAGAAGGCATCTCTTTATTTTAATTCCAGAAAACCTGAAACATGAATCCTTTTGTCTCACTCAAAAGCATGACTGCATTTTCCTTGTAGATGGAACTCTTAGCAGTCTTATGTAGTAGCAAAGTTCTGGATTGGATTAATTTTTTTTTTTAAAAAAAATCAATGAATATATTTCCATCTACGTTTGGATACTTCCTGTATTAATTTTAATTAACTGTGAAATATGTCTAGTTTGGATGGGAGGTGGGAACTCAGAAGACTAAACATAGATCTCTTTAAACTGATTTGATTCTATTTTTAATGGCTTCCTTTGGCAATGAGGGGACAGTGATAAAATAATCTCCCTTTACAGAAGCAAGTTGTTTTAGTTAAGAAAAATACAGACCATCCCCTCTAGCATAAGCACCAACAAAAGGAAACAAAAAGGGGAGTGTGGATTTATTCCAGGAAATAGATTGGCTAATATTACAAAGATCTGGCCTTCAATACTCTGATATTAGTTCTAATGTCATATCAGCTTTCATTTTAAATATTAAAAAAAAGATAGGGGAACAGCAGGTAGGGAGATAAAGCAGACATCAGACAGTTGAAAAATGTAATATTCATAGGTTCTATGTGCTTAGATATTTTAAAATTAGAATTCAGCATGCTTAACTTTTCTCTGGATTACACAGTTCAAGAGACTACAAAGCAACTTCTACCCAAATGGAGACCATTATTCTTCCACAATAATATATATAAAGGTATTATATGCTTTGTATCCAGAGCACTCTGAGCTCATATTGGCTATATTAAATATGAAAAGGGATCTAGAATTCGTATCACGAAATATACATACAATTAAATTGTTATGCTTACAAAGGACACCTATTTTCTCCAAGCTTTATATGAACATCAGAAAGTATTTGGTTATAAGTTTTAAGTAATAAATGTTAACACAAATATATACTTTATAGTCAGCCTGGATACACGAGGCTTATTTTTTCACGAAAAGCTGATGGATGACACCACCTTAAAATGTAGGTTGATAGTTACATAACTGACTCTCCTCACACGGGGGGGGGGGACTCCTGCATTTCAGGAAGGGAAGATCCATGTCTAATTCTCTCTCCTGTGTTTTTGTGGAGTGCTTTCACATGGAGAAATATTATGACATGTAAAACTATACTAGGGGACTAAAGACAAAAAGTTGCAAGTGCAGTTGAATATAAGACTGTCCACTCTCAAAATGTTTACCTGGTAAATAAAATCTTTCTGCAGCTATAGTTCTTTCCTTAACTATAAATGTGGATGTTGCCAATTTTAAATTAAGGCTGTAGCAAAACCAGTCAATGTAATCTAAGGCTTAAAATATGTATCATTGAGAACACTGAGTTTTCATCTGTTCAGTACAAAGTAAATTAATTCAGAGAAATCCTTGTGTTACACCAAACAAAAACAAAACAAAACCAAAAAACAGAATTAAAACCCTGCACACAAATGCAAAACCTTTCCAATAAAACTATATGTAAATTTTAATAACTAGCCCAACATTCGGTGATACAAGAATAAGGTTAACGCCTACTCTCAGATTTATTTGCCAATTACATCTTAGAAATTACTTCTTTTATTTGACTGATTATATGGACGAAAGCAAAAAGCTATGCATTGTTAAGTACAGGCATTCAGGGACAAATTAATTTCAATGCTAAAATAAAAATTAAATTGCTCAAATAAAACAAATGCCAATTATTTTAAAAGTCAGAAGAATTTATTGTTTTCAAACTGAGTTGACTGCAGTTTATCTGCTTTAGCAAAACCCCAAGATGAAATAACCCACCGTGTTCCTTTTAAATAAGCCACAGTAGTTTGTTCCTTCATGTACCAAGAATGTCTCAAGGCAAATGTGTCCTCGTAATTTCAGAGTCAGAGAGTCCATCTTCTTGAAGACAGGGCTCATAGTCTCCAGCATTATTTGCCAAGTCAATATCTGGCTCTTCATTGCTCTCAGCACTATAGTCCACTTCTTCAAGGAAGCGAGGTTCATCTTCTTCTAGAACATAAGTAGTGGGGCTACAGCAAACATGTTAAACACTGTGGTTAGTTAAAATGGAATGTAATTCACAAGAAATGTAACCATTTAAGACAGGTATCATTCAGTATTGACAAATTATTCCTAACATTTAATTTTTTTTTCTCCTCAGATAAGAATGTCAAGTTTGGGAAAATAACATTTATATACTTGTATACTGAAGATTTGTACAACTGTATGTTTTATGCTGCATTCCACCAATTAATTTTTTAAAAAATAACTAACACTGAGGATTACTAAATACATCTGAACTTTAGAAAGTTAATTAAAATGTTTTTTCAATAGCACCAATTTCTTTCCCAGTATTAGGCTTTTTCTTCAGGCTGTAAGAGAAAATAGATTTTATAGAAGAGGAATTATTGTAAAAGCTGATTTAGCATATTGCAAAGTCATTCCCAACCTCCATCCCACTTCCCAAAGTTTATTCATTGGGAAAAAATAAAAATAATGCAGGAAGACAGAGACTGAGTTTGGTGTAGTAATTAAGGCACCAGGCTAGAGACTTTATAACCTTGTCTTGGGAATGAAGACAGCAGGGTGACCTTGGGCCAAACACTGTCTTTCAATCCTAGGAAGAAAGCAATGACAAATCACTTCTGAAAATCTTGTGAAGAAATCTGGAGGGACTGGTTTAGGCAATCACCAGGAGTCAACCCTGAATCAAAGGCATACACCCCACACACACACAGCCTCCTAATTTCATATTGCTATGCCTCCAAAACAAAAAGCATTAAAATATTTTAAGTGAATAAACCAACCCACTCTTCTCCAAAGCTTATAGCAAGATGCTCCAAAATGAAGTTCCATTTCAAAGCATTTTTTGGCACCATTGACCTAACATTATATTTCATCAAAATTTAGCACTTCATTGTAATGTAAACCCTAACCCCAAAAGCTGCAATTTTAGGTATTAAAAGAGATTAAAGAATAGAAAAAAATATATTGCATCTCACAAATCAAATATTTTAGAATTGACCACACAGCTATCTAGATCAAAACAATGTGTTTACTGCAACACAGGTGCTGACCATTCCTCACATGTATGCATAAACATAACAAAATTACAACATTAATCCCTTGGGTATATTTTGCAAGCAATACCTTGATTTCTGGATCCAGATTCCTATTTCATTATTTGGAGCTAATTTACAATAAAAGCTGCCTGCCACTATAGGTCTTTTTTTTTTTAATCCAAATAACCCTCTGGTAAAAAAATAAATAAATGATTTTTTTCTACCTTGTCACTTTGCAACTAGATTCAATCAATTCATTTTCAATGTCCAAAAGAGTAGATGGCAGATTATATTCCAGTGGTGACGTCAACTTTTTCAAACGCAATAAACCAGTACAGAATTTGGTTCCCATCTCTTCCAACTCACGTGTCCCAATTTGTAAGCCCTAATGAGAAAACATACAGCATTAAGCAGTTTAGTGCAATTTGCTTTCTCCCCGTCTATAGTTCATTATTTACTCAAAACCTGTAACTGAAAGAAAAGAAGAGGTAGAAAATGCTGGCAATATTTTTATACATTCAACTTCCTGCATAAAACGGGAACATCTAGAGGGGGATTCTTTGTGAATTTAATTGGATGTGCTTCAAATCCACTCCAAACATAAAAAGTTGTGGAAGGAAATGGAGGAATGGCATATGGATCCTTGATTCTCTGCTATATACACCTCAAATGAGCAATACTGCTTAATATTTCTCAGTTCCTTCTCCGTCCCTCCCCTGGCCTCCCATCACTCCTATGCTGCTTGCACTAACTCCCCCCTTAGCTTCCCATGAAGCCTGCACGGCCTTCCCAATCTCTCCCCTAGCTTCCTCCCATGGCTAATGCACAGACTGGCCAGCCTCCCCCACCCTCCTGCAGCAACTCCCGGTGACCTCTTCCTGTTTAACAATCCATGCATTTTGAGCTTGCAACAGCAACCGGGACCACCCAGAATTGCCATCATTAAGTGATACAGTTGCATAATGTCATACTTTACTATTTTATCACTTAGTGATGGCAATTCCTGTCCTTACTGCTATCGTAATCTGAGGACAACCCGTTATCACAAAGAATGCTTTGTAAGGCAAACAGAAACCATGGTCGAATTTTTTTGTCACCAAATGAACACAAGGGCATCTTCCATATTCCAGATTATACATGAATTATATGTGAACACACATTTCAGATTATATGTGAGTGGTTTTCTTCATTAGAAGAATGCTAACTATTAAGGAGTCTATTCATTAAATTACGTGATGTGCAAGAGTCGACATAGTTCCGAGCTCCTTTGAAATGAATGCAAGTACTATACAGCATCAACTTAATTCTTCAGATGCATTAATATAAAATGCTATTTTACCACAAACCACACTTGCCTTGTATTTCCCTTGATCACATCCACACAATGTGCTTTCCATGGTGTAACTTCTTTGAACACCTATCTCTCTCCACACTACAACGCGTGCCGTAGATTCCTTTGATTTTTCCACGACAAAACTGCAGCTGTTCATACAGAATGCTGGGGCTGTCTGGCTCAGAATCTTAGGGAGAGTCTGCCAGAAAGAAGCAACAACAAACATTATAGAAAAACTCTGAGGCTTGTATATCTTTAAAGTATAAATTTGGGTGTCACAGATCTGCAGAATACTACAGAGATCTCCCTCTGAATGAGGAGGGAATACATTGCATGTCAGAGGAAGTACAGGTTACAAAGCAGTTCTGCATGGAGAGTACAGAATCAAAGATGGAATAGCTCTGATATCAGAAAGCTTCTAAGTGCAGTCTGTCTAGATACTGGAAAATCTATGGACTTTGTTATGGCATGGCATTTTTTCGAAGATTTCTGAAAATGCTTTTTCTTCACACAGCACGTTAATTAACCTCTGAAATTTGTTACCACAAGATGTGCTGATGGCCACTAACATAGATGACTCTAAAAGGGGATTAGACAGAGGACAGGCATATCAAGGATTGTTAGCCTTGAAGACTTAAAGTTACTTCTGAGTTGGAGAAGGTAGTCATCCAAATGCCATATGTAGAGAACCAAATTTGAATCTGTTTCCAGCTTATAAGCATATGACTAAAGAGAGGCCAAAATGCCAGGCTAGAATGAGTCTTTCC